CTCCTTTGCTTTGTCCACAAACCCATATCCTACGTTTGTATGTGAGAGAGAGAGAGAGAGTGTGTGTGTGTGTGTGTGTGTTAAGTTAGAAAGGCGATGCTTTCCTTCTGTTTTTTTACTTTTAGTCTTAAACGGTCTCCCAGAGTCTATCGATCAACTCTCCAGGCTTCTGGACTCTCGCCACATGATCCCAGAAAGTGCTAAACATGTACAGGCCCAGGGAGGGAAATACTTACAGTGCTAATAAGCTACGGACTCTAGAAAGGTTTTAGGCGGGTCGGCCGACTTGATTCGAGGTACTGTGAAGAAGAATGTCTTAACTTATTGTTTCTAAAGCTGGGAACGCGTGGTGGTAGTTTTAGAAAAAGAAAAAAAACAAGGGTCCAGCTCAGGATTGGGGCTCTCACAGACTTAAACAATTCCCACATTTTAGCCCAAACGGGACACGATCGGGCTGATTTATATCACACGGCGGCCATTTTGAGTACTCGGAATCGGAGTATTTTTTACCCGGAAGATGAAACAAACTTTTAAAAAAGGACGTGTTGACATGTCCACCTGGAATAGTTTAAATAGGCAGGACGCACCGTCTAAAATCAGCCTTTAAGCTAACAGCCTCAAAATACAAGACCGGATTGTGTTTTTATTTATTTGTTCTTTTCCATTCCAACACACAGACGAGGGCGTCGGTAACCATGGAAACTCAGATTAGTTTGGGCCCAACACTTATGTTATGCCAAGTTTTCAGATAAGAGTTAAGTCTTATATTTTTAGGGTAAACACTGGTTCATCCCTTGACTTAGGGGACTTTTTTTTTTGTGTGAGTGATTCATTGGTCCGTTCGTCAGTGACTTTATTAAAATAATAATAATGATAATTCTCCTAGAAACAGTTGGATATAAAGAATGGACTGAAAATGATTTTTAAAAAGCAATAATTGACCAAAGAAAAACCTTTTTTAAAACTGTAAGAAGTGAAGACCTTATTGAAAAGTTTGAAAGGAGGCTTTGCTGAATAGGGAAAATATAAAGATTTAAAGGGAGGCTCAAACCTTTTACTTTTTAGTATTTCAGTATTTTATGTACTTTCACTCTTCAAACTGGACATATAGGATTATTGTACTTAGTAACAGCGAAAATTAGTGTATTTTTAGCAGTTTATTCCAAGAAATTGCACTTCTGTGAGCAAATATACAGCTAAATAGCAGAGCTAATAGTTTCTTTGGCTTTTTTTAAAGCCGTTTGAAAATAGAGTAACTGTCTGTTGTTTTTTTTTTGTTTTTTTTCATTTTAACTTGGCCAAAACAGTTAAAACTGTTTTATTCATCATGGATTACCTGAAATGAGCTAAAGGGATAGCAAAAACAAAAAAAATAGCTAGTGCTAGCTTAGCTAGCATAACTGTAGAAAAAAAATGGGCAGGGAGAGCCTAAAAGCTGATAGTATTTTACATTATTGTTATTATTATTTATGTTTTTCATCATGGAAGTGTTTGGAAAAGTAGGTTAAAATAATAAATGTGCGTTTTTTTTCTTGTGCCTTCCCGTGAACGTGCTAACACGCTGCGCGGCGGGAAATAACCTGCTTTTTCTCAGAGAATGCTTCACTCTCGTTAAACGCAAAACACTTTTTAAACATATCTCTGGCTTTATTTTCCAGGTCTAAAGCACAAACTCAGGAGTTAGTTTGTAGGCGGGTGAAAACCTTCCTGGTTGTATTCCAGCCTGAGTATTCAAAATGGCGGCTGCATTAGCCAGTGTGGGTTGTGGATATTTAGCTAGCTACTTCTTCAGTAAGTTAGGATAGTTAGTCCTTTTAATAATTGAACGCCACGGTTAAAGTAACACTGCTAATTATCACTGAAACAACCGTTACTTTAGTGACCAGCCACTGTCCAGTCAGCAGCCTGAAGGTGCAAAGGGATGTTTGCGTTTGTAGGAGCCTCGGTTGGATATCCAACTCCTCCCATGTCCAAGTCGGCCATTTTGATTAGGTCATACGACTAACAGCTTTCTCAGGTGGAGACAAAAGTTTACTTTTACTGTATACAAAATCAGAAGACAAACGATGTCCAAAACCTAAACCTGACCCTAACCCTAAACGTAGTCCTGAATCTAAACCTAACCCTGACCCTAACCCTAACCCTTACCCCAAACCTATTTGACATCCACTATTTTAACATAATATTATGGATAGAGATTAATTCAGTGTTTGCAAGATTAATTTCACTCAATTTAAATGAATGTCTATATTGCCATGAAGCAATGACGATAATGCATTTTTATTGCAAAATTTTTTTATTTGGGAAATATTTTATTTTAATTATTTTAATCATTTTAATTATTTGGATCACGTCAACGAGGTTTAAAAAATAAAAAAAAACGTTACGAAAAAATGGCCTGGGATCTTCCTATTGGTGACCTAATCAAAATGGCCGACTTGGATGTGGGTGGAGTCGGATATCCATCCTTGGCGTCCTGCAGCCAGACGGACTTGACGGAGGCCGGTACCGATGGCGTCCCCCCCCCCCATTCCTGCTGAAACTAAACTGAATCCAGAGTGAGCCCGTTCTTACTGTCCACCCTCCAGGTCGTGTAAAATACTGCTGTTATCTGAGAGTTAATATATGAGCGCTGCGGGGGCGGGAAAAGACAGCCTGCTGTTAATTATCACTGTAGAAGATTATGTATGTGGTCGTCTCTCAATGTTCAGAATAAAATTCAGTTGGACCAAGGCCGTGGTTTCCCTTTTGTTTGGTTTTGTTTTTATTCATAATTTTCATCAGATGTTTACTGCATTGATACCATTGAGAGATGGCAATTTCATTCATCCCAAGATGGGAAATTAGGTTAGAAATAAACAATCACACATTCAAATATTCAACTTTTAAGTTAATTAAGTTAATTTATGGAGTTATTTTTGAGTTAACAATTTGAGAGCGGGGTAAGCATTAAATGTTGTACGTACAGGAGGGAAATTATTCTAAATAAGTTAATTGAGGCGATATCCTGATAGATTTTCTGTTTGATTTCTTTGTTTGTACAGCTTATAGGTAAAGACAGGAAACCAGGTGAGATAAATAAAGATGGACCAGTCTGAACCGACTCTTATATGTCTGATTGCATCAAACTGCATATTCACAATAAAAACTATTTGGAAAATCACAATAAATGCACAAAAGAGTTTTTAAAATACAGTGAAAAGGACTTTTTACTGTTCACAATTATTTAAATAACCCATTTACCATTTCCAATTAAAAAAAACGTGAAGCAAATATAGTATAACATTCTATCACTCCTATTTTCTTCACAGTTTTTGACACCATTAAAGCTACAGATGATTTTCTTATTATGTAACTTAAAGGAGAACTACATTATGTGTTTTAGTGTAAAAAAAAGTCAGCAAAATTAAGGCCAAGAGAACTGATACTAAAAAATGCTTAAGATGTAATAAAATGTCTGAATCTTTGGAATAAAAATAGTAATTTATAGCTGCATTTTAAATCAGAATGTAATGTTTTCCAGTGTCTTCTCTCAAACAGGACTTAACATCCTGGATAATATTCATAATCCAATTCCATACGGAGCTTATAGAATATATTTTTACCTCGTGGTGGTTTGGGTTCAATAGCAAAGAATGACAAAAATGTACAGAAACAAACCTTTATTTTTATATTTCTCTAAAATGGACTTGGACCATTACCTCCTCATTCTAATTTAATTGGAACATGCATTTACTGGCAATTAGTGCATTTATCATTTTATCAAAGCAGCACTTTGAGAAGAAAAAGGCTGTTTTCTAATGATATTTAACGTGTGTTTGTGACTGAGATGCAATTATAGCATCACATAGAGGTGTTGATTTGGGAGGAGATATTGGTAAAACGTCTCCTTTTCTGGCTTTATTTATCTCCTCCTCCCTCCCTTTTCTTACCTGCATTTGCAAGCCATGAATTTCTCTACATGCTCTCCCTATCTCCCCCTCAGTCACGACTCTGTCATTAAACTGGTGAGTCACAGCACCGAATCACACCAGAAAAAGACCACAGCGAACCACATCTGTTCTTTTTTTTTCATTTATGGCTCAATGTATATTTTATTCCAAATTCCATAAATTAAAAAACGACTATTCTAATTATTCGGCTGCATATTTAATGGAAAAAAAGAAAAAGAAAAATGAGTTTACGTGAGTTCAAATCCAGCTGTGCTGATCGAGATGCGTTCATCGCGCTGTGGTGACGTCATCCGGTTTAGGCGGTCCCACCGATTGCCTGCGCGTAAAACCGGCGTGTGCGCGCGCGTGTGTGTGCGCGCGCGTATCTTGTCCTTGCTGCACGCGACCTTTCGGTCCGTCTTGACAGCACGTGCCACGCCCCCTCCGACCCCTTTTTAAAACACCGGATGGTCACAAACGACCAACGGCGCCGTTAACGTCCGCGGTCTGAACGCTTTGCGTTTTTTCCGTGACTCCGCACGCGCTTCCCGCTCTCTTTCCATCACCGGGCTCGCGCCCCCTCACGCGCCCTCACTCGCATCTCGCCCGTTTGGCACTCAGCTGGTTAGCTAGCAGGCTAGCAGAACGTTGGGCTCCCGACTAACCGGCGGCGGTTGGTTGGCCGTTGGTTGTGTTTTTTTTTTATTAAAACTCTGCCTCTTAGGCGGGCAATGAGTGGACGTGGGTCCCTGTGAGTAACGGATTATCTGCATCTCTCCTCGGGCTGACCGGGAGCCGCCATGGAGTGCCGCGTCCTGTCCATACAGAGCCACGTAGTCCGGGGATACGTGGGCAACAAGAGCGCCTCTTTCCCATTGCAGGTACGTGCAACCGGCGTGTTTCCATTATCGGACACCAACGGACGCCAACGGTTCGAATTGGCCTTGCCAAAAAATGTCGCCAAACTTCCCGTCGAGGATCAACAAATCGATGCAAATGAACATTTTGTACAAAGTTGGAACGATTTTTTTTTTTTTTTTTTGTGAGACAAAGTCTGTTATCTGACAAAAAATGCTAATTTAGCCTAAATTTAAGCGTCTGGTTTTTAGGATAAACAGATTTTTTTTCGTTGCCTCGTGATACCAAAAAAATGATGTGGTCGTGATTTCTGAAAAGCTGAACCAGAGATGACAGGTGTCGCGGAAAATTTTGTGTCCCCTGCAGGATCAATCATCCCTCTGACGTATGTAAAATGTTAAACAGCCCCAAGTCCTAGTCCCCCCCCCCCAACCATCCATAATATTTATTGCTCGGATAAATATCGAGACTCCTTTGGAAAAATTAGAGGTTATCTTATCATCATCTGGGGGGGAAACTGGACTCATCTCCATCCAGGGAAATCATTTTATTTTATTTTTATTGTCTGGCTGACAGGCTTTGGATCTAAGTGTAACGTTTTATTTGTTATAAGTAATATAACCTGTTTGCTTAATGAAATATCATCCAGTCTGAGCAGTTCATTTCCTTAAAGCATCTTAAATAGACCAAATATTGGGGCTAAACCATTATTTTTTTTGCCTGGCTGAGGCTTGGATCAAAGTGTATCATTTTATTTGTTATAAGTAATATAACCTGTTTGCTTACTAAAATATAATCCAGTCTGAGCCGTTTTTTTCCTTTAAACCATCTTAAATAGACCAAATATTGGGGCTAAACCATGTCGGCTCACTCATTGTATTATTCTAAACATTCATCATCCATTTACTCTGATTATGAATCGGACAAACCTCTTTATCCATGAATCATTATTAATAAACGGATATTAGCTGTGAGTCCAACAGTAAAGCTTGAAGCCTGAGGGAGGAAACTCTATTTGATTAACAGCAGAACATGCTGACATTTAGAAACCAAATCAGATTAAGCTGAACCAAAAAACACGACGCTATTAAGATCTGCAGGTTTACTCTATTTTCTGAAGTTTCTGTGGGCTCGTTTTGAAGACGTAATGAAATCAGAAATGTAATCTTGGCTGGCTTTTTGTCATTTCTTTAAGGAGTCTTCAGGAATAGTTCTCCAGTCTTCTTGAAGGATTCACCCCTCCATCAGACCTGCTGCCACTGGTTTTCATTCACTTCTTTAGTCTTTTCAGCCTGTTGAAACTCCATTTTCTGTCTTTAAAATGATCTTATCTGTGGTCCATGAAACGAACACTACAAAAGCTGGACAGAAAATGAATGAAAAAGTAGAGAAAGACTCAGAGAAAACTTCCAAAGACCTTCAGAAAACCTGAATAAACTGCATCTCAGGACGACTGACAGATTTAGAAAAATATCTAAAAATGGTGGACGTGTAAAAATCTTTTGTGTTGTACTTTTTTTCTCTTTTGATCTTTAAGTTACATGTTCTCCCCACCCAGTTTATGTTCAGGTGATCGGGTCCAAATGGGGGGAAAACCTCTAAATAAGTGGACAAATAATCACTACACAGAATTCAGTTATTTAGGAAAAGGTGGCAAATCACTGTTTCTTCCATCACTACTGGTCTTCATCTAGCTTCCATCTCCTCTAAAGGTTCAGCCAAAAATTGTTTCTCTGGTTTAAATGCAAAAGTGTTGAATTAATTGCATATTTCTGGCCTTTAAAGGAGACCCTCAGCAGTTTTAAAAGCAAGCTGCGGCTCGCTATTGGTCTCCATCTAGCTTCCATCTCCCCTAAAGGTTCAGCCAAACATTGTTTCTCTGGTTTAAATGCAAAAATGTTGAATTAATTGCATATTTCTGGCTTTTAAAGGAGACCCTCCGCTGTTTTAAAAGCAGACTGAGGCTCGCTCTTGTGCACATTGATGGCTGTAGTTGGTATTTGCTTCGAGTTGGCTGATTTTACAAACCCAATCAGCCATCAGAATCTGTAATCTGTTCATAAAGAAGCTGAATTGAGGCGACAGGTTTTGGGTCGGACCAAAGCTCCTCTTCTTCTTTACGCCTCGTTAATCCGACACTGACGCGTTCGTGACAGTCTAAAAGTCGCACAAACGGCCGATGATTTCCAGTGTTTCCTCCTCGTTTAGCACATTAAACCGTTTAGTGGCTCAACCGGTGTCCTGTTTTCTGAAGCCTGATCATAAACCGTAATGACTGTTCCTAAAAAAAACACAAAGAAAACGGCGCTGTACGCATTAAAGAGCCCAAATGAGCATCTAAAAGAAGACACTGATTGGGAGGAAGTGTGAGGACACAGAGCTTGTGAGTCCCTTTTTAACTCCGTCTGGCCTCAGACTGCAGGAAGCCAAGGATGGATATCCAACTCCCCCACATCCAAGTCGGCCATTTTGATTAAGTCACCAATAGGTAGATCCCAGGCAAGAAAATCCTAATTGCTTCATGGCAATATAGACATTCATTTAAAAATAGTGAAATGAATCTTGCAAACACTGAATTAAACTCTATACATAATATTATGTTAAAATAGTGGATGTTAAATAGGTTTGTACAATAAGTCCAAACAAGTTTAATAAAAAAATATTTATTTCTCACAATTATGAAGGCTGGAGGGTTAGGATCAGGGTTAGGGTTAAGGTTAGGTTAAAGATGGAGGGTTAGGATGACGATAAGGGTTAGGTTTAGGGTCAGGTTTAGGGTGGAGGGTTAGGGTGATGATTAGGGTTAAGGTTAGGTTTAGGGTGGAGGGTTAGGGTGAGGATTGGGGTTAGGGTGGAGGGTTAGGTTTAGGGTCAGGTTTAGAATGGAGGGTTAGGTTTAGGGTCAGGTTTAGGGTTGAGGGTTAGGTTTAGGGTCAAAGTTAGGTTTAGGATGGAGGGTTAGGGTTAGGACACCATTTGTCTTCCGATTTGGTATAGACAGTAAAGTTTAGTTTCCACCTGAGAAAGCTAATAGTCACAGGACCTAATCAAAATGGCCGACTTGGATGTGGGAGGAAGTGGATAACCTACAGACTCCAGCGAGCCCCCATGCTGCTTCTCATAGCTGCTTTGGACTTACAGTATAAGTCCCATCTCCGCTCGCTGTGAGATGGACTGGGTTTATTTTTAGCTGCCCCCCCCCCTGGGATATTAGGAGGTTATCCTAATGGCTGCCAGGCTTTGATGCCTGTCATTGCCACTAATGTTCAGCCACTTTCGCCGTATTACGGCTAGTTTGCTGCTCTCTAATGTTGGAGTGATGCAGCTGCCTGCAGGAGTTCATAATAAACAAACCGTAGAGGAGCTGGACTCAACGGAAACTCACGCTTCAATCGAGATGAAAATAATCGAATAAACGCTCAGATTATTACCGTACGGGCTCCTTAGAGAGGGATTCTGGCTCTAATCCCTAAGATGTACAGTGGGGGAAATTAGTATTTGACCCCTTGCTGATTTTGCAGGTTTGCCCACTTACAAAGAATGCTTATTTTTCCTCAATCAATATTTATAAATTCATATGATGTGATTTTCTGGAATTTTCTTTGGGATTCTGTCTTTCACTGTTAGCATGTACATATGATTAAAGTTATAGATCGTTGCATTCTTTGTAAGTGGGCAAACCTGCAAAATCAGCAAGGGATCAAATACTTATTTCCCCCACTGTAACAGCAAAAAGTCTCAAACCAGCCTTCGTTTCTTTATATTTTCTTTTTAAAAAGGTTTGAAAAGAAGAGTTTCATTTAGTTCTTTGAGAATTTCAGCTGACCGTTTTTCCTTTAAGCCACATAACTGACCTCTGAGTCATTGAGGCAGAAACAGAAGCTCATAACTCAAGGGATGGACCAGTATTGTGTCCCACAGAAAAGGAAAACGGGTGTTTGCTCCCATCCATCCATTATCGTTACCGATTATCCCCTAATGGGGTCTTTGGGGGGCGGAGTCTATCCCAGTAGCCAATGGGGAGAGGCGGGGTCCCCCTGGACGGTCCCCAGTCCATCAGAGGGACACACAGAGACACACAAGGACCAACAACCACACACACTCACACTAAGGGCAGTTTGGAGTCCAACAACCTAACATGCAGGTTTTTGGACGGTGGGAGGAAGCCGGAGAACCCGGAGAGAACCCACAGACACAGGAGAACATGCAGAACCACCCAGAAAGGTCCTGGTTCCCCCGGGACTCCAACCCAGAACCCTCTGGTCCTGGTTCCCCCGGGACTCCAACCCAGAACCCTCTGGTCCTGGTTCCCCCGGGGACTCCAACCCAGAACCCAGAAGGTCCCCTCATCCCAGAGGGTCCTCTGGCTGAGCCTCACATTTTTTGGGGTTTCTTTGGGAGGAAGTAGATAAATCGGGTAAATCCCTGTGATATTACTGACGACACAGAGGCCCGAAAGTCTTCAGATGGCCTCCAGTTTCCGTTAGACCTGTTATTAAGCAGCATTGTTAAGTGAAATGTAAATTTTGGTTGAACCTCTCAAGGGAGAAAAAAGCTTCTTTGAGTTCAAGCTGAGAGATATTATCTGATAAGGAAACCTGATTATATCAGTAAAAGTCGTTACAGTCGATCAATGACTCGCTCAGCTCTGTTTTAGAGAAACTGATTAAATATTGATCGAGTTTTCTTCGATAAAAACTAAAGCTTTGGTTGCCAGGTTAATTAAAGGGAAGCTGACTGGATATGAGAGCTTTACCTGATTTGTGCTGACCGGGTCTTAAACTTATTGTGAGCCCAAATGTCCGAGTTTTCTTCTGAAATGCATCAAATACTGAGAAAACAGGGAAGCCTCTTAGTCCATCTGGTTTTAAGCCTGAATCAAACATCAATCATTTGTTAATCTATCTTGAAATGGTGTGCTTGGTACTGATTTACATTCTCTTACTAAGACGCACAGCTAATATAATAAAAGAAGAGACACTTGATTGTTTTTATTGGATAATTGGGTGTAAAAAGAGCCCCTTAGACAGGCAGAGTCTCTACAGTTAGTTGGGAGAAAACCCTTTTTATTGGGATCCATCAGACTCTGATCTTATGTAATCATCTGCAATAAATCAAGTTAGCAGAAGATTCAAAGTCTTCAAAGGGAATCTTTTTATCTCAACTCGTTGTCCAGATGTGGACCCTGTTTCAGAAAGCCAAACAAAGAAATAAAACCCACAGCTCCACAGCTGCTCTCCTCCAATCCAGATGTTTTCCAGCTTTTTGGACACACGTCGGCACATAAAACTTCTAGGATATCTTTCAAGAAACGGGAAACAAATCAATTAAAACGGAGACATTTCTTAGAAACCTAAACAAAAAAAACAGCTCACCACCCAGAAAGAAAACTCCAAAGGTCAAAGCTTGTAGTTGCTCTTTTCTCCTCCTTCAGAAATTCTGGGGGGGGTCTCTCATAGGCTCGTCCCGATCCGATATCTGGATCGGATCAGGACGAAAAAATGCGTATCCAGACTCCAGATCCAGTTTTTTTTTTTTTTTTTTTTAAAGTCCGATCCCACACGAGCATTAGCATTAGCATTTCTAACCCACAGGTCTGTGTCCTAACCATTAAGTTGTTAACAGAGTACATCCCTGTTCAACATGAGTACATGACAACTAAGTATGTAGATAAATAGCTTTAAACTTTAACACATGCTCTGATAGGCCGGGATCGGTCAGTATTGGATCGGAGGTGAAAAAAGCTGGATCGGGACATCCCAAGTTCTCATAGCGGATTCTTAAATCTCTGTAAGTCACTGTGAGTTGAAGTGAACAGAGAGTTCCTTCACTCTGCCTGATGTGGTCAAATTAAAGGAAGTCAGATAACTGACTGCTCGTGTGCAGGAGCCTCGTGCTGGAATAAAGGAGCTGCTTTTTCCTCCTGATGAGCTCTGAACATTCCAGTTAAATGAAGCCAAACGGATGCTTTATCTTCATTAGAGCTTAAAGTCCAAGCTGAAGTTTAAAAAAAACAAACACTTTTTTACCTTTACCTTTTTAACTGTTTATTCCCGAATGGGGTCGTGGGGGGCGGAGCCTATCCCAGTAGCCAATGGGGAGAGGCTGGGTCACCCTGGACGGCCCCCAGTCCATCACAGGGACACACAGAGACACACAAGGACCAACAACCACACACACTCACACTAAGGGCAGTTTGGAGTCCAACAACCTAACATGCAGGTTTTTGGAGGGTGGGAGGAAGCCGGAGAACCCGGAGAGAACCCACAGACACAGGAGAACATGCAGAACCACCCAGAAAGGTCCTGGTTCCCCCGGGACTCCAACCCAGAACCCTCTGGTCCTGGTTCCCCCGGGACTCCAACCCAGAACCCTCTGGTCCTGGTTCCCCCGGGGACTCC